AGTCACCTTCCAAACTGATCAAACAGAACCCCACATTCGATAAATTCACTCTTCTCCTATCAAAACTGTTATGTAAGTTTTTCCTCTGTTTATAGATTTACTTTGCTTTTTTCCTGTTCTAACCCTGTACAATTTGTATTTTATTAATCGTTTTTTTATATATATAAACTCAGCTTTACATTTTTATTTGAATTTGTTGCTGTTGTTGTTTTACCTCGGAATTTTCCTTCACTAAATGTCTGACACAAATTCCTCAGTGATAACCCGGTTGTCTCCTTTGTGCTAAAAAGCAGGATTACCAAGGCCCGGGCACCTGGGAAGCAGCTGGGAGTGTGAGGTGTCCTCACCAACTCCCAGGCTTCCGTGTCCTCTCTGTGTAATGCTCAGGTGTCAAGGAGATTACTCTCTAAGTGTTTTTAATATATATATATATATATATATATCTTTAAAGATTTATTGACTTATTTAAAAGGCAAACTTACAGAAAGGGAGAGACAGCGATCTTCCATTTCCCGGTTCACTCCCTAATTGGCCACATTGGCCAGGACTAAAGCCACAATCCCAGAATTTCATCCAAGGTTTCCCATGCAGGTGAGGAACCCCCACTACTTGGAACATTTTTTGCCACTTTTCCAGGGGCATTAGCAGGAATCTGGATTGGGACATGGAGTAAATAGGACTTGAACCAGTGTTGATATGGGATGCCAGGAGTGAGATCAGTGGTACGGTCCATTACATCGTGATGCCAACCCTTTGCAAAGTTCTTTTAAACAGTATCATTCAGGGCAGTATCAATCTATTCTCCAGCCCAGCGTTCCTGTACACACTTTCTCTTCCTCTTTCTGATGGAACCACTTCACTGCATGTAGACTAGCCCTATAGAACTATACCACACTCAGTATTGCCAACAAGCTGAATACAATCGGTATAGTATTCTGGCAACAGGCACATTTTAGCAGAACCAGTGCGTACAGAAGACTCATCTCATTTAATCACTGTAAAACGCCCAGGGTCATCTCATTTAATCACTGTAAAACGCCCAGGGTCATCCAGTCTCCTCTGGCAGGTTGAAAACAGCCAAGCAAATAAATCCACACCCTGACTTCCAGAATCCCACGCTACTCCACATTGTAAAAGGCACTCTGCAATGTAATTATGTAAAAAACATCGATATGGGGAGACTGTCCTGGTCTAACAGGTAAATCCAATCTCATCATCATGGTCTTCAAAAGAGCAGAACAAGATCAGAGACAGAGGGCAATGCTACAACAGAAGCAAAGTTAAAATAATGAAAGATCCTAAACCAAGGACTTCCAACAGTCCCCCACCCCAGCCCAAGAAATGCAAACAGGTAAAGAAATTCCTGGAAGGAATCAGCCACTACCACTTTTTGTAGACTATGGACCTCCAAAACCATAAGTAACACATGTATGTTATCGAAGCTCTAAGTGTGTGACAAGTCTTTATGGCAGAAGCAACAAAAACTCAAGGATGTCAGTAACTTTTCCCTACCAAGCAGCTGTGGATAAGACCACAGAGTATCTTCAGAATGTGAACTAGGAAGCTGCATCTGTTTGTTAAAAAGGTTAACTAGGAGTGAATTATCCCAGGGGAGTCAATTCACTATGGCTAGTGTTTGCTTAAATTTTAAAAGCCTGGGCCACACCAGTGCGCAGTAGCCTTAGTGGCTAAAGTCCTCGCCTTGCATGCAGCAGGATTCCACATGGGTGCCAATTCTAATCCTGGTAGTCCCACTTCCCATCCAGCTCCCTGCTTATGGCCTGGGAAAGCAGTCAAGGACAGCCCATAGCCTTGGGACCCTGCACCCACATGGGATTCCTGGAGGAGGTTCCAGGCTCCTGGCTTCGAATTGGTACAGCACTGGCCATTGTGGTCAATTGGGGAGTGAATCATAGAACAGAATATCCTCCTCTGTTTCACCTCCTCTCTGTACCTCTGACTTTCTAATATAAATAAATAAATCTTAAAAAAAAAAGCCTGGGTCTTCACAATACTCCTTAGTGTTTCTTTGCTGCTGGATTCAGGGATTTAGAAATCCAATAGAAACTTATATTTTATTTCAATTATGGGCTATTTCCTTGTTACTTTTTCTTTAGCCTTCTTTTAGTCCTCAGCTCTTTTAAGAAAAATATCCCAACCCAGTTATGAAATAGCTCTGCTATGCAAAAGACTGCTATGCAAGTTTCAAGCACTTCTAGCTATCCAGATTAAAAAAAAAAAAAAAAACAGGAGATTGGTACTAAAAAGTTCATGAAAAGCACATACGGTGAAAAATGTATGCAAGTATGTCAAAAGTTTTTGCACCTAAATAAACATTTTGTTCAGTTTTTCCATGAACTTTCTGAAGTGTCTGCCTAGTTCAGAAGATCTGAACACACATTACTGGAGAGTGTATCAAAAAGAGGAGAGGCATTTTTCAAAAGTCAGCATAAGAATTCCAGATTCCAGCAAGAAGTAATAATTGAGAAAGTTTGCCATCTGCAAATTGGGGATAATAATTAACTGATTAAGACCGTTCGATGATAAAATCAAACATGTTCAAGTGTTTCAAATAGAAATCCCAGGCTTGAAAATGTGTGCCCAAGATACTGCGAGACTGCCCCAGACTCCTCACCTAGAGGGCACTTCAGTGGAAATGTTGACGCAACTACTTTGTCACCAGCCTTGGCCCTTCAAAGGCTGCTCCAGTTTACTCAAACTATAGACCAATCAGCCACAGCCACACTGACCACGAGCACAACGTAGGGTCAGACTCTCTGTGTCATCCAGGCCAACCTTTCTTTGCCTTATAAGCTCATGGGAAAAATGGTTATCACAGATCCTGCTCATAAGATTAACTTACTATCTGTAATCAAATATGTACAGTGCCTGGCTGAATCAATCCATTTGTATAACAGGAACTTGGTCATTTTTATATAACTAATAATTTGTTAACATTTTCAGCACAACTTTTAAGTCCCACAGTAAAGAAAAAGTAGCTCATTTGGTTAATATTGCTTAATGTGGTAGCCTATTTCCATCACTCACTTTAGATGTTCTTTCACCAACACAGCCTACACGTAGCACACGAGTTTCTGATATGGTGCAGCTCATTTGTAAGCAAATGACACCAAGACCTACCCAGTCAGTTCACTAAAAACTAAATCATCTAGATCCTTTTCAGTGATCTGTTTAGATGCGAACTGAATGGAAATCTGTTTTATACATTACACTAATGAAGAAAAATAGGTGCCTATCATTGTATATGAAAATGTTGCAATCATATATGAGCAAGCTGTCCATTCAATGCCTCCAAACTAGGCATTCCAAATAATCAAATACATAGAAAAGAAGTTGAAATAAAAATACAAAGGTATATTTGTCAACCATTTCTAAAAAATCTGAATACAAAACAGATTAAATAAAATTCTGATCTTTGTAGGGCTGTTTGCAGATTATATTCATAACATTAAATGAACTGTGTTTAGCTTTTTTAAGTGATTGTATGTACGCCAGCAGAGACCATCACAATAAGTTTATTTGAGAGGTTTTCACATGGCCCTGATAATGAATTAAAATCAAAATCTCAGTTTTCTACAGAAGTCATTTATTTGGCTTTGGAATAATGTTGGCTTCAGCGTTTGGCAATATCTACTCGATGTCTCCAAATTAGACAGACTGTTCATTTCAGTTTTTCACATTTTGTACATTCTCCCAAACTCCCATTCGGGTGTTTGCTTTGGCTCTGGAGGATGCTGTCCGTGGAAGCCTCTCTGCAGTAACCAGCACTGTCCAACCCTCGTCACCGGCACCTCAGGTCAGAGGCTGGAGAACAGGAGTGACGCTCAAGAAAAGCACCCTGCCTACAGCTGGCACACCTGACCAGAACACGCCTGTTCTAGTCTACACCTCCATTTTTCAAGCTACTCACTAACAGGATCAGGCGCCAAAAGGGACCGACAGGGGCTCCTAACACTGTTCCACAGGCGCAGAAAAGCCTGAGCTTCCGATTCTGAAGCCCAACTGGGCAGGAAAGGGAAACCCGCACATCGTGTTCTCCAGTTACATGAGGTCTGACGCCGATCAGTGGGTTAGCCACTGTGGGTTTACAACCAAGTACAGGCCCACCCACACTGTCTCAGCGAGCAGTGCTCACCGCCCCCTTGGTGGCTCCAACTTCACATTTGCGAAAGGACCTTCGCACTACAACAGAGTTCTTCCACGGAAGCTGCAACTCCAAGATCTGGAATGTTCCAGGAACCCCTTGGGCTAACCTTGGCCTTCACCTTCCAACATTTCCAGGCCCTTCTATACAAGAAGTGCGCAATACACTTGCCCTGATCTCATTCCCCTAAATTTCTGGAAGCAAAGCTCCAAGATCCTAAGTCACAAAAGACTGGGGGGAACAGAGAGAAAAAGATCATAAAATCAAAGATGATCTGGCAAGAACCTCTGGTAACCCACCAAACTAAGGTGGGAGGAGGATGCTAAGGCCTATGTCCAGTGAACTCTCCACCGCCCCTTCCTCTTGGCGGTATCTGCCCACGCTGATTCCTCCTCTGTGAGGAAGGCAAGGTTGGCAGCGCGCGAGCCGGCGGGTAGGCGCACACCCCCGCCTACGCGTGCCGCCTCACCAACGCCAAGGCGCCGCTCACACCCTTAACCTAGGAAGAGGGAGGCTCCCTCCGGACCCACTTCCTGCAGGGAGAGGAAAGACATCTTGCCGCAGGGAGGCCGCCGGCACTTCCGCCCCTGGACCAGCCGGCCGCGGAGCGCGCCTTGCCCACACCTACGTGGCGCTGCCCGCTCCGGGAGGCGCGCGGTGGAGAGGCCACCCCGCCGCGCCCCGGGGTCCCCCAGCCTTCCCGCCGGACGCCAGGGCCGGCGCCGCGCACGGGACGAGCGTGGTATAAACGCTCCGCAGGCCCCTCGCCCTGCGGCGGGAAGCGAGCGGGAGGAGCAGGGGCGTGCGGGCAGCACCCCTTCCCCCAGTCACCCACCTTTCTCACTCGGCGGGCCGTGTAGAGCCCCATCCCGTCCTGCACCCGGGACGACTTCAGGGAGAACCTGTCCGGCACGTACATGCCCAGCATTTTCCTGGCTGTGGCGGCTTCGGCCGCCTCCCCTCAGCACCAGCGGCCCTTTACGCCCGGGGAAATTTGGGGTGCCGCGGGGGTAGAGGGGGAGAGGCCGGCGGGAAAGGAGGAAATGGAGTTTTCCTCCCAGAATCCCCACCTCCCCGCCGATTCCAGGATCCCCCGCGGCTCAGCCCCTCCTAGTGCAGGGTCTGGCCGGGCCCCGAGCCGCGGCCGCTGCCATTGCTGCCGCGGGGGCGCAGGGGGCGCGGGTCGGGGCGCAGGGGGCGCCGGCACGCCGCGCGCTGATTGGCCCCAAGTTGGGGGCTCGCGCCCGGGCGCCGAGCCCGGAGCCAAGCCGACCTCGGGGCCTCAAAGCCCGAGCCCCTAGCCCGGCGCGGCCGTTTGCCTTCCCGCCTTTGTCTGGCTCTGTTTTTTTACAACAGGAATATTATTCCCGTTCCCGGAGTTCTCTTGTTAAGTGAAGACGGAAATGGGCCTTGACCTAGCTGGAGGCATCCTTTCTAAGCAACTTTATCAAAGTTCCCTCCTTCAAAAAAACTTTCACCCAGAGAGCTTTTGCCCTAACCCTAACCCTGTCGTCTGGGAGATGCCCCCTGCTTCCCTAGTGGAGTCTGCGCATATTTAGTTTTTTGTTTTGTTTTTTGTTTGTTTTTGTTTTTCGTCTGTTTCAAGGTTTACTTCAATTCAGAGGTTGGAATTCAGATATTATGCAGATCACAAAGAGCAAAGGGTGTACAGTCTGAAGTCAATCCATTTCAAGTTGAATGTATTAAGCAATTTAATAAAGCCACAGAAACATTCTCTTAGCATAACGCACCCTTGGGGAAGTTAACTTCACGACCTGCACCATGTCTTGTGTCTTGACTTGGTGGAAATTATCAGACCCATTAAGGATTTCCAAAGGTGAAAGAAAACCATGGAGATAAAAACCAGTGTCATCAGGAAGTACAGCTTGTTCCTTGTTAGTCAGATGAAGCCTTTGAGCCGATTTCGGCCTTCAAGCCAAACCCCAAATCTTCCATTCATGTGCCCACGAGTTTTTGTAACTTTCTACGCAAGGTTGTTTTCAGGGAAACCACTAGATATCCCCAATTGTTCTTTCTTAATCACCATTAAAAATGCATACACTTAATTTGGAGAACATTAAATAGCGCACACATACACCTGAAAATGATTCCTACCGCTTAAAGATTTAGGAAAGCCAGAGGACACAAACAGATCCTAAGTGCAGATTTTAAGTATACAAAAGATCTTTTTAAAGATCACACAAGCACACTATTGGCAAATTTTTGAAGAATTGAATAAAGGAACCTTTTTCTAGGAAATTAAAGACAGCTTGCCACAGGAAGGAGGAGCAATACCTCAGTTGCTTGAATTTTGCTCTCTTTGGCTTTCCGTAGAAGATTATCCAGCTTTGAAGATTCTACGGACCTCTCTAGGGAAACTGAGTCAAGAAGACATCCGAGTCAAGTTTGAAATTAGATGTGCTTGAGGCACATTAGGGCTTCAATTAAATATTTCTTGGGTGTAAAACATGTCTACGGCCACCAGAGATTCTCAAAGTAATCTATGTTGAGTTTAGAGTTAGTTTTGCTCCTTGCTGTTCTAACAAGGATATGGTCTAGTGTTCCTTGGAACGTAGCTGAAACCAAGCCTAGTCAGACCAGAGTCCCTGCGTGTCCCTGGCATGCTTCCAGCCCATTCATTGCTTTGTCACATACTATCCTGCAGCAAGGCCCGAGCCATGGGGGCGCTCAGGCAAACAGGCAGTTCTGGCTCCTTGGGCACACTGGTTCCTGCAGCTGTCCCTCACTTACAGAGAAAAGAATCGATTGCGCATCTGAAGTGACCACAACCTTCCCGCACCAATGACCCAATCTACCAATAAGGAAATGAGAAATATATTTATGCATACACTTCCATGCATACATATTAGTTTTTAAAGAGAATCTGAAGTCATTACCATGAGAAACTTTCCCAAATGTTCTTGTGAATCATGGTCATTTTTGCTACAGTTGAACAAAACAGGGTATTTCATTAAGGTATACAGTGTTCTTTGTATCTATTTGATGGGTTATTCTGAAAAGCTAACTAAAACATGAAAACCAGCAATAAAAAAACAAATAACCCTTAACAAGAAGTTCCATTACAGCATACTAAAAAAAGGACAAGTGTCTGCCAAATCAAAATGTACAATACTGACCGGAAATTTGATTTTGAAGCCTGTAAGTCAGTAACACTATAATGAGTCATTTCTTAAAATTTTAAAAGCTAGAAAATGACCTTTCAATATTATCTTTGAAAAACGGGAAATTAAAAGTCTGCTTTACCTCAGAAGTTTAAATCCAGTCTTAGGACAATAAATAAGAAAAATAAGAAAATGATATTCAAGTACTCTCCTGCATCTGACTCAACTTATTATAAAATATATTTGGTTATCATGACATAAGAGCAATGACTCCAAACAAGTTTCTCCTTAATTTCAAATTTGCTCTTAAAGTAATCTTTTTTTTTTTCATTGATATGCCTGAAGCAACTTTTCATATTAAAATCTATAATACTATACTTGTGTTGGTCTTATTTTCTCATTTCTGAGCACACTTGATTTATAACTCTATATTAATTATTTCATCACACATACCATTGCATTGATTGTATCTTTGTTATTAATGACTGTTTCCAAGTGATAGAATAAAAGCTGATGAAAAAAATGAAAACAACCACTGAGGTTTATTTTTCTTTAGTTTCCCTAGAGTTAGATGGATTTTGTAGTGAAGGAATATAAAGCCAAATTTTCATGACAGAAAAGAATTAAAAATGCAATGAACTGTAAAGAAAAAGAAGAAAAATCTTAAAAATAGAATCTAGGGCCCAGCGCGATAGCCTAGTGGTTAAAGTCTTCACCTTGCACGCCCGGGATCCCATATGGAGGTGCCAGTTCTAATCCTGGTGGTCCTACTTCCCGGCAGCTCCCTTCTTGTGGTCTGGGAAAGCAGTCAAAAACGGCCCAAAGCCTTGGGACCCTGCATGGGAGACATGGAAAAGCTCCTGGATCCTGGCTTCAGATTGGCTCAGCTCCAGCTGTTGTGGTCACTTGGGGAGTGAACCATCAGATGGAAGATCTTCCTCTCTGTCTCTCCTCTCTGTATATCTACCTTTCCAATAAAAATAAAATAAATCTTAAAAAAAAAAAAAAAAACAGAATCCAGAGCAGAAGTGCTGGGTTTTTGTACAGAAGCCCTCAGGCACAAAAAAAAGCACCAATACCTCAAAAAGTCCAGACATTCAATTTTCCCTATTCTCTTGCTTTTAGAGGATGGGCTCATACACTTACATAAAACGGCAATGAAGAGACCTAAGCCCTTTAATTAGGAAAAAAGAGAGAGTGTTAGAAACAAAAGGAACAATGTTACTTTAAAAAGATGACCCAATGGTCTTATCTAACAGTTCTTCCTCAATGGTGAAATATTATTTGAGAAATTATCTCTGAACTTAGCAGATATTGTGATCATTATATTTATATATTTATGTATATACATATGTGTGTATACATTAATTTTTAAAGATAATCTAAAATCATTATAATAAAAAATTTTTGAGGCAAACCTTCTTTATAGCTAAGCCCACTCACAGTCCATTCAAAAAACAGATACTGAGAGTTCTCCTTTGGCTCACTGAGCAGATATGCAGGGCTGATAACCATGGCCATGAGCCAGAACTCTATCTAAGCTTCCTTCCCACTGGGTTGGAGCCCAGTTAGTTTTGTGGCGTCGTGCTTTCTAGAGTCTGCGTTAACAGGAAGCTGGATTGAGGAGTCAGAGTCAGCTATTGAACACAGGCACGCTCATCTGGGGTGCTGCCATCTTAACTTGTGCCTTAATTACTAAGCTAAGCACTTACCAACTCCCCATTTACAAATTGTTAATCCACAGAAATCACATTAAAACACACCGAGGCCTGAGCTTTCGGTGTAACAGCCAAGATGCTTCCGAGTTCCTGGGCTTCAGTCTTGGCTCTGCTTGAGTTTTGCTCCTGCTAAAGTACACCTGAGAAGTGGTAAAAATGCCTTAATAATCTTGATTCCCCACGATCCACATGGTGGACCTGGGTGGAGTTCCTAGTTCTTGGCTTCATCCTGTTCCAGCCTCAGCTGCTGTGGCCATTCGGGAAGTGAACCAGGAAGATCTCCTTCTTCACTGCCATCCTGCCTTTCAAATAAATAAATCCAAAAACATAAAAAGCAGTACCAGTACTGTTTTATTTGTAGAATCATTTCAATTTTTTTCTGATGACTTCCGTTATTAAAAAGAGACTATTAACTTCGGAGTTAAACTACTTGAAATAAACTAAAACGACCTTCTTTACTCCAAATCAATAAGGAGGACTCTTAGTTTCAGCGATGACTCTTTTGTAGCTCTGAATCTATGTAGATGAACTAGTAACCATGTTAATAACATCATTATTTTTATGGAGGCAGAAAGCAGCTTCTTAGAAAATGTTATTCCAAATAGTTATCGTAGTTGAGTGCTGTTGTCTCAGTGAACCTTCAATGAAACAGGTGACATACACAGCCCATGATGTGATTCCGCACTAAATTAAGACAGCATGAGGTCTTCTCTCTCTACCAACTACTTTTCTCTACTTACATTTGGCAGCTTGAAGTTTTGGGTAGCATTTCATTAACAGAAACATAAGCTCCCAACTCTCTCCTGCTGTGCTCAGTATAAATTAATGAAAAATTAATGTTTAAATATAATTCATTTTGGAATTTCTCTCTTGCTTCTGACTAACTGAACACTATATGAGCATGGTTTTACATGTGAATGAAAAATACTATTGGTTTACTTTTCTTCATAGGTGAGTTTAGGATGACAATGTCCAATAACATTGCTTTCCTGTGATATAGCACTCTATTATTAAGCAACATTATGTTAATGTCACTTATTTCTAATACAGTGACAAAGCTTCTTTTCCTGAAATAAGTCTATATCTTGAAGGTCTTATACCCAATCTTAATTTATGAAATGTAGTCTCGAATTTTACAAGTAAGTGAATTGAAAACCAAAATTGAAAGTTATACTATTT